GTGTTTCTTTGGCTCCATGCAGTGGTTCGAATCTGTACAGCTGCCACAGGTCAGACTTCTCTGGTTTTACAAGAGTCAGGGTTAAAAGAAACCAGAGTCAGTTCAAAGCAAAGATTTTCACTAGCTCACGAAACCAGTTTGAGTTTGCAAACTAGTCGGGTTGAAAATTTGTCACATAATTATTTTGCTTTTCTTAGCTATTTCTTATGTGCCCCACAGATGGTACTCACAGACCACTTTGTAATCTGCTGGCAGCCTCTGCTGGACAATGATCAAGACCAAGTGTGAGCAAGACTCTTTTGTGGCTGCTCTGCTCAGCCAGAGTTTTCTTAGAGTCTCTGTGGTGCAGTGAGGGTTGAGACTGAGCCAAATGGAAGAGGAGAGGAACAGAAGGGAACAAAGCCAGAAAGAAGCAGAACCAGCAAGGATTCAATTAGCAGTGGGAGAGGTACCTGGGCAATGCAGGGAAGATGTATATTTGCCACCCAGGTTTGTTAGGCTGGTCCCAAACATATAGGGGCCATACTGTCCCCTGTGGTTTAATGACAGGACAAGGATATATTGGTGCAATACAGATTTTACTTCATTATCTGGGAAGCTGGCTGTCCCAGCAGCCATCTGAACAGCACTCACCCACAAAGTGCTCTGCAGCCAGGTAAGTCCACAGGTCAACTACTTGCACTTCCAGCCCAGCAGTAGACGTGGATGGGAGTCCACAGCCTGAGGGAATGAAGTTCTTTTGACTCACTATGTGAGCCGGTTCCTTCATTTTCTACATAGTCAGACAATTCTTTAAAGAAAGAGGTGATTTCCATTTGACTGTGAGACCAGTGTAACACTCTCAAGTGGAAGTAGCAGTTCCATGAATAGTTACCCACTTGTGTCTCCCTAAAACCAGGCAATTTCAGAAAGGAAAAAGAAATCTGATTTCTTCTTACTCTCTCTGGACACCTGCAGCTTTTCAAAGAAGTCACCAACTCTCACATTTTGCAAGTGAGTGGTTTCAGCTGTTGCTGCAGCAGCTCATTCCTGATAAGGAGCATCCAGTTGCCATTCACAGCATGGAGTTTCAGGCAGGATGGGTTTGTCTTTCTGTATGCCCACACTCAGCGACTGTGAATCACTCAGAGCTGCTCTGTCTTGCATCATCCCTCCTCCCTCTTGCTCTTCTGTCCTTTCACTGTATGTGGATACTGGGAACAAATGTCCAGCAGCTCAGGAAGGGAGGAATGGGCTCATGCACCATCTGGGCTCCTGTTCTCCTTCCAGGAACTGCCCCATCCTCATCAGGATGAGTGCTTTCCTAGGGGAAGAGGTTTGCAGTAGCAACAGTGATTTTTCATGAGGAAGGGATCGCTTTCCTGTCTGAGGCTGGGGTCTGGAGAGGTACTGAGCTTTTCCCAACATCACAGGGTGTCTCCAGCCCTGGCCAGTTCAGTGTGAGGTGTCAGAAATACCTGGGTCATCCTGCAAAATCCAGCTATCCTTCCCAGCTTCCTTCCCAGTGCTGAACCATCATTCTGGATCAGCCCAACTCGTGTTCTGGAGCTTCACGTGTAGGGTGCAGGCATTACCTCTGCAGGATATCATCCTCCTCCTCCTCAGGCACCAACAATTTTATTGCTGTTATAAAACAACCAAGCAGGATCAGAGCTAATTTCAGATGTGTTTCCCAATAGGAAACCTGCCAAGCTGCAGCTTGTAGCAACCCTTCCCTCCCCAAACACTTGGATAAAATATTGCAACCTCTAAAGCAACAATCTTAGAGACAAACATTTAGGAACTTTTATAGCTCCCAAAGGTCTTCCTACTGATAATCACTCCATTTTTACAGAAATAGGGTGGGTAGGGACCCATACATCTAGAATATGAGAAGGCAAGTTCTCAGAATGAAACTGATCTGTTTTCATGCTGCAGGGTCTACAGTACAGCAAAGCAATTTCATCCTCATTAGCCAAGTGCTGCAGTACACGAAACTTTCTCATTTCTCTCTAATGCACATCTGAAATGTGTCTGAAACTGCTGGGTAATTGGCAGTTATTTTCTTCTAAGGATTTCCCCACAAACAGAACAGTCCTAACTGTATAGAATTTTCAGTCCCTTCTGTGAAACCCAGGTGATGCATTTTTCTGGTTTAATTGGTTCTTCCTTACTCCCCTCATCAAGAAAGGGGGAGAGGGAGAGGAAAGCAAGCAGAGCCAGGCAAAAATATGCAAATCCCAGAAGCAACAAAAGTCAGAATAATTGTTATAACTATTAACCCTAGGGATTAATGCCACTTCAGCAGCAGTTTTTGAGTCATGAAGAACCTTAAAACGTTTTTTCTCCTATAATACAACTGTTGCTGTAGTCAACAATCGTCCTCATCATCTCCTCTTCTTTACATCCTCTAGATGGTGCTTGTGTATCACATTCTACACAAAATAAATCATAAATCATGTTGCTGCTAATCAAGCTTAGAAAATGGGTTTGAAGTGCTGTAACTAGATCGCTAGAACCAAATAGTTGTGGTGGACCCACTGGGTCCAAGTGTCCCTTGGACCACACTTGCCTTGGCTTGGCCACCTGGTCCAAGCCTTCCTCAGAGAAAAGGGTTGTCCTCAGCCTCTTTTCAGATGTGAAAACTGAAATTAATTATTAAAATCTGATTGCATAATAGAATGGTTTGTGTTGGAAGAGACCCTAAATATCATCTTGTTCCAGCCTCCCTACCATGGGCAGGGGCACCTTTCACTAGAATGGGGTGCCCAAAGTCTCAGCCAACCTGGCCTTGGACATTTCCAGGGATAAGACATCCACAACCTCTCTGGGAAACCTGTTCCAGAGCATCACCATCCTTACAGTGAAGAATTTCTATTTAATGTTTCATCTAAACCTCCCCTCTGTCAGTCTGAAGATACATTCCCATTTATCTTACCACTACAGACCTGTAAAAATTCCCTCTCCAGCTTTCTAGTAGCCTCCTTTAGGACCTGGAAGGTGCTCTAAGGTCTTCCTGGAGCCCTTTCTTCTCCAGACTGAAAAACCCCATTTCTCTCAGCCTGTCTCCACAGGGGAGGTGCTCCTACCTTTGTCTGTCCTTCCCTGTCACACTCTGGTGATGCACAAGGGTTCAGCCCTGCTGTGCCTGCTTATGTCTAGTGGCAGCTGGAGCTACAGAGCACACAGCATATCAAGTGTATGTCTGGAAAACGTACATGGGAAAAAAAAATATTTCAATTGTTCAAAATGACCTTTTCCAGTTGCTAGAGCACCATGCTTTTCCATGAACAATGCTGCCAAATTTGCAGCTTGCAGCAATCACAGCAAAGTGGGAGCATTCCTCCCATTTCCCACAGGAAGAGAGGAAATTTCAGCACAAGGCACTGATGCAGGGTGGGGAAAAAAAGCAGTATTCTGCCTCATGAGCAAAGAAAGTTGGTACCCCTGAGTGGGTCTATTTAACAGGAAAACAAATCCACCCTGGAAAGAAAAACCCTTGTCTCAACCTTTGTTATTCCACTCCTCACTTTGGGTCAGTACACAGACATGCCTGGAAGTACTGAAATGCAACAGAGATAAAATGCTGGCCACTCTTTTCCTTTACTCAATTTCAACAGAATTAGTTTAATTTTGGGGTAACTGGTATATTAATTCCCTCAGCCCAGCCTTCACTGCCTGGAAGTGACCAAGTCATTTTATTTCCTCCTTTGCATTCACTCTCTTCAAATATTTGCAGACAAGCAACTGGGCTAGCCTTGCTTTGGACTCCTTATCTCACCAGGCTTCATTCCTTAAAAATTCTCTCTTCCTTTCCCCACACCTTCTGTCTAAATTTACCTAGAGGTAGTCATCAAACATGGTCCTTGGCAAACAAAGTGACTGTTTGCCCAGCTCTCAGCTGGACACGGATGGCTTTGCTGGGGAATCCCAGCCATTGCACAGGATGACAGCAGAGAGCAGCTGTGCTCCATGGAAAATATTTCCTCCCTCAGTTCCTAAACCTACAAAGGCTGAAACCACCTTGCCAGGGAGGTGTGGACCCCTGTGTCAGTACAAAATGGGGTTGCTAGGGTAGAAATGGAGTTTTTCTCCTACAAGAGCAGGAACCAGTATTTCCTCAGGTCTATAAAGCCTTTTGCACCCAAGGCTTTCTTTGTTTGCAGCCTGTAAATATTTTATATGCAGGAAACAGCACCAGAAAACTGTAAATATGATGGGTAATCTCTCAGTAGCTGAGATGAGACTCTGTTTTTACAGACGGGGACATTTTAGTGACTTCTGCCCGAGGAGAAATCATTGGAGAGGGGTAGCAGGGCTTACCAGCTTCCCTCCTATCTGAGGAAACAATTTCCCATTTTTGGCCTAGGTCATGCTCCTGTGCTGTATCATTGCCCTCTGCAAGTGGCCAACTCTAGCTCTGAAAACTTCACATCTCTCTTTCCTAATAAATTAAATTATAAATTCATACTGCTTTGAGAGTACCAGAGAGAGGGGTCTTTTTAAGAAAGCTCACCATTTAAGCCAGAAGTGGGTTCAATTTTCCCTAGCTTTAAAACTCCATGGCATCTCCATAGCCATGTCAGCTGCAGCAATAGATATCCAGCTCCAGGATTTGTGGCTGCACAACCCTCCAACAGCATAGAGTCCAATTTCAGAAGGAGGAAAGGAGTCCTGAATCATCTTCACCTGGATTTTTAAAGGACTGATCCTTAAACCTGACTGTCAGCACTTGGAATGCACACAGTCTCTTTCCATCTGTTAACAGGTGTGCCAGGAAAAAGTTCTCTTGGCTTCTTGCTGAAAGAGTGTGTTAAAAAGGGACAACAAATAGAGCAAATGCCATGGAAGCAGCAGCAGGCAGTGCCCATAATCCCAGCTGTGGGATCCCCACCCGTCTCCCAGTACATATTTGCTCTCCTGGCGCCTCTCCCTGCAGGGCTGCTGGAACACCTGGGGCAGCCCTTGGCTCCACCCGAGCCTGCTGCCTGCCCATATTCACCTGCTCTGCCTGCCCCAGAGGCAAAGGCAGAGGTGCAGCACACACTGGAGGGTGGGCAGCATGGCCAGGGTCACGGCCAGACTGTGCCAGGAACGAGCAGCGGCGGACGGGCTCGGATCCAACAGGAATGCCATCAAGTATCTGAAGCAGGACTATGAAGCCCTGAAGCAGCAGTGCCTGCAGAATGGCACACTGTTCAAGGATGAAGAGTTCCCAGCCTGTCCTTCTGCTCTGGGCTACCGGGACCTGGGACCATATTCCTTCAAAACTCAGGGGATAGTCTGGAAGCGCCCCACGGTAAGAGTGCTCTGTGTCTGAAATAACAGTGAACTTCACTGGGCTCAAATCTAACCAAAACCCAGCTGAACATCCGGGTTAAATCACTGGTGAGCTGGAATATCCACTGCTCCTCTATGTCTTTTTCCTTAATTCTATCTTGCTTTACTTCCACGGTAGCAGCAAGGCTGGAAAGGGGGTGGGAATCATCTTCTAAGCCTGTTATAAAGCAGGAAATCCTATACCTGCTTCATGGCAACCTGCTTTCTCCCTATCCATCCCAGCTTCAGAGAGCTACAAGTCTGGGGTGAAATCCAGAGATGGATGCAAAAGCCTCACATATATCCAGCCAGAGCAGGGGCCACCCCAGGAGCCATCATTTGTAACAGCACCCACACCAAGGTCTTGCCACTGTGCCCCCAGGAAATCAGGCTAATACCTAAATAAAATCCTCTGCCTGACTTCAAGCTGCCTGTAACAGTTAAATAGCAACTGACTGGAAATGTTATTATCTAAATAAGTATATCCTAGAAATGGCCTCTGATTCTAAGAAAGTAATTTTCATCAGCAAAGATCAGATGACGATTTTTTTTTAAGTCACAAAATCAGGGCTTCAGAGATTTTTCTGCACTCTCATTTTTCAGTCATTTATTTCGGTCCCCACTTACTTCCCTTTTGTCATTTTAGAACATCAAGAAATATTAAAAAAAAAAAGAGGGATTCCTCTCCCCCCAAATTATTTGCCTCCATCTGGTGGAAGAAAGCAGAATGAGAAAAATAGAAAATTATGAGGCTTTATTATTTGTTCACGTGAAAAGTGAGAAACAGAAACTTGCAGGTTTAGTAACTCCAGGTTTAATAACCCTGGCAACCCCATTTATCCATCAGCACCTCACTCTGGCACCTGGATGTTACCTCCACAAATACCATGGATGTGTTTCTTGGCTTTGCCTATCCTTGGAGAAGATCAGCCTCAGAAAACTCATTCAATTAGATTTGTGTTTCCCATACAAGAACAATGTTGAGCCTGCTGCAGGAAGAGTCACAGCCACAAGCATAGCAGGCTAAGGAATAACTGAGAGCTGACATCCAGCAGGGTTAAATGTCCCAGCCCTGCCTGCCAGAAACCAGCCCGTGGGACCCCTGAGGGGAAACTCAGCTGTGTGAAAGGTGCATGTGGCACTTGGGAGTGGCTCAGGAAGGACAGGGATCTGGGTGAGTAATAAGTCATATGCAGCTGACTGACACTAGGTGCAGCACTTTGCAGGGAGAAGAGGAAAAATTGCACAAACCCTTCTTCTGTGTGGTGGGTAATGTACTGCTGCACCCCTCTCCTCTGGACAGAAGCAAAAGGATGTAGCTGAAATGATTCCTATTGGAGGGAAGATTAACAAACTGTCTCTCCATCATATACAAGAAGTCCTGGGTTGTCTCTGTCTCTCCATGGGATACTCAGAGCTGACAAGTGCTGCTCTCGAGGAGAGGCAGTGACTGCCTAAACTGTCCTCAACCCTGCTTGCCAACTTAGGCTTCCTATAAACTGCTCCTTGCTGCCATCCAGAAGCTCATGGAAAATTCTCAGAAAAACAGAAAAGGCTTTTGTCTCTAGAGAGACAATAATGACTTCCTAATATAGCCCATGAGCTGCTGGAGAGCTCAGGGTTAGGATAAGAGTGACAGTCATTGCCATTATGCACTTGGCTGGCCCCAAAGGACAAGGAAGAAAGGGGAGTTGTTGCTAATAAAAGCATTTGTGTGGTTGGCCTCCCAGGAAGCAGGGTCAGGGTGGGGGAACATCCTCCACATTGTTGGCACTGGAAACTCAGCACAGCTCCAGTGGCACAGGCAGCAGCCACAGTCACAAACTCATCTGTGCTGCTTGAACCAAAATCTCAGCAAGACGAAATAAAGATATAAATGCTGAGGTGAATTTTCACCTCTGTCTCCACAGTAGAAAAATTCTCAGTAGTATCACTGAGAGTGCCTAGTAGCAAAAGGCATCAGGATTTGCCTCAAAAATAATACATGCAGCCCTCAATGTAATAAAGAAATTTTGTTCTGGGACTGTGTTAATCAGACAGAGGAGAAAGGATATAATTTTAAAGAAATATTCAAAGTGTTTAATAGTTTTTGAATATTAAAACAAAGAACAAGAAAAGGGAACTTTTCAGACCAGAAAAGGTGATGCAACCTTTTAAATTATGTTTTTTCAGGAGTTATGTGCTAATCCTCAGTTTATAATTGGAGGAGCTACCCGAACAGATGTCTGCCAAGGAGAGCTGGGTATGTACAGTGCTTCTGAATTTTGTTTTGGAAGAAGAAAAAGAAATGAAACTTCGTTTAAAAACTCCTGGTAGATGGACCACTTTATTGGCTATCTCCCAGACATAGTATGGAGGGACAGGTAGCCAAGAAGACTCATAAACCAACACTGCTGCCTGAGACTGGGTATATGTGGGCTTGTAAGAGCTATGTCAAAATTGTAAGACACCAAACTGTCTCCTGGAGGAAGGAAGTAATTATGTGGAACAGAAAACTGTTTTGCTTTTGACCTCTCTTAAGACAGAGGTGAATGCCAACCTAATCATGGGAGAACTTGCCCTGAGGCAAGAGTGGGACACCAGGGAAGTTTTCTGCTGTAACCTAGTCCTTAGATTCTTTTATTTGGGAGGCAGAGCAAATTCCTGCCTCAGTTTCACACAAAACAAATACACAACAACCAAGGAACAGAGCAGGAACTGGTTTAGTGGAGGGGCTGGGTCTGTGATGTGCCATCAAGCAGGATGGTCCAAGTATGAGTTAGGAGCAAGGACAACATCAGAAAGAAATGAACAGAGAATGTAAACTCTGTAATACCAGCCACAACACACAAATTGTTCCAAGCCCTTCATGCAGAACCCTCCTTTCTGCTTGAACAGCATTCATGCAGAGCTGTGAGCAGGGACAGGAGCAACCAGGAACCAGCCACACAAACAAAAAAAGCAGTGCTGCCCTGAATCAGGGCCTGATGCAGAGGCAGTATCTCTCAGGCAGCACTCATCCTCTCCCAGACATCCATCATACAAAACCCTTCCTTACCCATTTTTCTGCAGTGCTTGCCTTTGGCTAAACAGAGCTGCTGTGCCAGTGGCCAGAAGGGAGCTGCAGGGGGACTGCATTCCCCCTGGGAATAGCTGCTGCAGCTGCTGCCTCCCCTGCCTGCCTCGCTGGTAAGATGCAGCTGCAGAGGACAGCAGCAGCAAACCCTTGACTGCATCGAGAAGGTTGAAACTCTTGTAATGAGAATTTGATAGATTAGACACAGAGAAATCAGCCTTTCTCCCTCCTGTGCTGCTAACTGCAGTACTCCTGACCTCACTGGTCTTCCAGCACATCCATTGTGCAAATGAGATTGAAACAATTTCTGCAAGTCGTTGGCGATAAATAACACCAGTGCTGCTCTTGTAAACACAGCACTATTAAAGCAATTGCTAAAAATTCCCTGGTGTGTACTCCAAATCCCTGGGCTTGTACTCCAAATGCTAAAAATAAGATGCCCAATCATATACTTGCTCCAGGATATTTATTTGGTGGATGCTGGAACAGAGTATGGGGAAATCACTTACTGTATTTCAGGAGAATGGCTCATATAAGTAGTTAAAGTGACATTTCTTGTCATGTCCTATTTGGAAAGTTTCTATAATGGCATAAAAAAAATTTAAGAACATACACCTGAAGTAAAACCTCATTTTCTCAGACAGTTTACAAGCTATAGGACTGAAAAATATTATCTGTTCTTAAACTAGAAGAGGCTGGTGCATTATTTGTGTTTAGCCTAGAAACTGAATACAAATACCCTGAGCCCTTTTCTGGTTCTGTCACCTGCTGAATATTTCCGTGGAGTCCCAGTTCCTTGTGCTAAATGGGATTTCTCTAGAGATCAGTGCCAAAATCCATCACATAGTGTTAACAACAGAACTGGACCTCAAAACCTCCTGTGAATCTGGGGATGGTGCCTTGCTCTGGGTTTTCTCAAGACAGCTTTTTGTGGGCAGTGACCCAAAGGCTGGTCCTGAAAACTATCCCAAACCTAGAAGAAAAGCCCCAAGATCTGATTCTGCTATTATTAGGAGCTTGATTTTCTCTCCCTCTCTCTCTCTCTCTCATTCTCTCTCTCTCACACACACAAAAAAAAGAAGAAAAAAAAGAAAAAATAATGAAAGATAATCCAATTTGTTTCTGCAAGGCTGCTTACAATTGCTTCTATGCACACTGACCCTTCACAAAAATAAACTGCAGGCATGGGACTTCCCTTCTAGCCTTCAGGTATTTGCTTTACATCTCTGAGGCATACTAAGCTTTTTTGGTATTTGATCCAACACTTTGAATATCAAAGTCCTTGTTACTAAAACCCTCATGTAAAACACTTCTATTTGAAACAGACCCTGATTACATATTTACATAAGCCACGTGTGTGACTGGGTAACACATCCTTTAGGGAAATAGAGCCTATTTTTAATAATATTCTCTGACGTGTTTCTTTTCTTTTAAAAATAGCACTGCAGGTCTGGGTTTATATGAACAAAAGGAAAAAGAAAACCCAGAGTTGGTCTCACTCCATTAAACTTATTTCTTTGACAACAGCGTAAGCTAGATGAATATCAGCTTAGGAAGTTTGATGGGGACTTGAAAGTCTTGGAATGCTTTAAATATCCTTTGAACCATATCTTTTTGATAGCCTAGTAACAACTTGAAATGTAGTCACATAGCCTTAGTTATTAAAGGTGACTTATGAAGTTTTCTTGCTGCTATCTGAATAAGTTAACCCGAGGACTGTTTGCAGAAGTTCTTAAGAAGCAAGTGGCATAAATTTAATTTAAATAATATAAAACGTACTGAAACCCCCTCCGTTTAGTATTAGCTTTCCAGATCCACACTATGTGTATTCATGAGTTGCCTTTTGTTCTGAATGCCCAGAGGCCCCTCCAGGCAGGCACTCCTGGGCTGGCAGCTGGAGGAGTTCCCTGAAGCCAAGGCAAATGCACCAGCTCACAGCAGCCCGGGAGCCCTCCCCACATGTGCATGCCTTGTCCTACAGGCGGATTTGGGGAGATTACAGGTATTCTGAAAAACAAACCAAAGCCTGACAGCTCTGAGATAGATCTGATACCTGTTGAGGGAGCCTTTGAAGTGGTTGTAGGCAGGAGAGAACTTAATAGTACTGGGCTTGTTCACTTTTTTTGGTGTAGACATTAATACATGGCCCTTCTGACATTCAATCCCACGGGCTCAGGGATATTGGAGATCCTGTTTCTAGCAAATATATCTCATTGATAGAAAAAAAACCCATTCACTACAACTCCGAGACCCTAAGGAGAAGAAAACCTGTTCCTTTGCTGGACTCTCTTTTGCCTTTTTGTACACAGCTGCAGAACAAAATTAATTCCCATAGAAAACCTCAGAAAGTCTTTAGAAATCTCAAAGCAGAGGCAACCTGCACTGCCATAAATTATAAGCTAGCAGGTCAGTGCTTCCTTTCTTCCCTGGTGTGATGCCCCAGGTACTACAAGCTCTGAACAAGGGTTTCCAGCAGAGACTAAAGCTGAGAGTCAGAGCTGCTTGGCAATCCAGGAAGCCACAGCATTGTGTTTGGATCCTTTCTGAACACCAGGCATTGCTGAAACAGCAACAAGCCAGAACAGAGTCAGGACAGAAACGCCTCTGTGCTGTCCAGTCGCAAACTGGAACCAGACATTTGGACTTTTGGCTGAAACCATCTCGAAGTCAAAGGAGAGTTTAAATGCTCTGTGTCTAGACACTTGGATGGTAACTAAACAGAAACTGAGCACAGCTCTGGAGCAACTGAAACGAATCAAATTTCTCATTTATTTTATGGCCTCTGCAAGTGGAGCATGCTTGGGTAAACATCATCAATACGGAGGAGTCGCTGAGCTGCCGGGTCACCAAGGATTCCTTATTCAGTGCAGCAATTTAATTATCTCTGTAAACCAGGAGCTGCCTGGCTAGCACTGAGAGCATCAGCCAACTCAGGACATCTGTGAGCAGCAAGGGATTCTATTTCAATGCACTAAAAGTCAAAGTAATTCTCCAAGATCTCACACGTGTTTTTATACATATACGTACATATGTATATACATACATACAGGAAATAAGCACAGCTAGGTTTCATGTTTATCCTTTCCACCACAAACTCAAGGTCAGGATTGCTTAAATTTTAAGAAAAGCAAAAAAAAAAAAATCCACGAAAATGTCACTTCACTACCATTTCAAATGACTTCAGATCCAGAAATCAAGCTGGATTACAAACGCTGTATTTGGCACTTGTCTGAAACTTTTGTTCATGAAATATGAGACTGAACAGAAGAAGTGATATGCATCCATAAGTGATTTGGCCTTGGAGGGCTAATATTGAGAAAGCTGGTTTTTAAAAAAATCGTTATTTTTGTAAGCTAAAATTCTGCAACTTTAAACCCATATGGTGAGCAGAAATGCTTTTTGATGTTGTCACTTTTCTGACTATGAGCCTATTTGAAACAAATTCTAATTAATTGGTCAATTTGCCTCTTTTTCTCTTTCTCAAAAAAAAAAAAAAATCCCTTTTTAGGAATGGAATAAAACAGTTTCTTCACAGTGTGAAAGATTACCTATAACCTGCAGCTGAACCAGAACAAGTTTGAGGGTCCTACATGAGATGCCTTTCTGGGGGCTTGTGCTCTTGTGCTGTCCTGTAGGCACAACCACAAACTATAGTCTGAAACTCACTGCTGGCAAAATGACATTGAAATTTGAAAAAGGGAATAGGAAGAGTCAATTTGTACTCTTTTAAAACTAGTCATGTATTATCCAGTAGGGCTGAGAAGGCTTATTAATAGGCCAGGATCCCACTGTGGTGTACCTGAAGGTAAGAGGCCAACCAAGCACTTTAGGCTCCATCATGGAAGCTCCTTGATGTGGACAGATTCCTGCATCCTCTGAAAGTAAATATCACAGGAACTTGAATGTAATGCACCTCTGCTCTACAAAGATGCCCCCAAACCATCTACATTCAGACACACTTCCATTTTTATCAAATTACTGTGCAGCCACCACCTCCCAGCTGGTTCCTTTTGGTTGGCACAAGCTTAGGCAAAGATATCAGGCTCAGGAAAGAAAGGTTTGGAGAGAGGACTCTGCAGTGCTCAAGGGAGGCATGGCTGCTTTTAAGGCCAAGTTCACCACTGCAATTCTTGCAGCACAGTTCTTCCCAGGCATGCCCTGAAATGCTTCCCTGGGAGGTCAGGCTGCACTGATGTGATGCTGACAGGCAGCAGCACCCAAGTCACACACTCTCCCAAATGCTAAGGAGTTAATTCATGCTGTAAGAAAGGTGCCTTAAAGGATTTCACGCTGCATTTGGCATTCTCTGGGCTGAGATTCTGAAATTGTTTAGTTCTGAGGTGGGAAGGAAACAATATATTTAAGGAAACCCTCCTCATTTCACCAAATCTTCTGCCTGATTATTCATCCAACATACATCATCCTCAGCAAAACCTGCAGTAGTTTCTCACTCACTGGCTTTAAAATCCTGGCCAGGATTTTAGGGGAAACCATTGCAGATGTTGCACATTGGGAGAGCACCAATCTGTCACTGCTGCAGGCCTTCTCTGGTCTCACAGGGTGGAGGGACACAACGGGAACACCAGGGACACCCACCTTGCCACCTTCTCAGAAACAATGTCCTGCCCTTCATAGCATGCCAGGGACAGCCAGAGCATCAGAAGAAAAGAGGATTTCAGTTCTGACTTGGTATGGCTTTTCATCTTCCTCCTCTGAAAATCCATTCTCCAGACTTATCACCATTATTTCTACCTCTTCAAGGAAAACAGAAATTATAACAGCTTAAGGCATATGCTGTACCAAGAAAAGCCTCAAAGAAATAGCTACAAAGCAGATCTGAGTGTTCTCAGTCTCATTTTTTTCCCTGCATCTACATTTCCTTAGGAAAGAATGTTCTTAAAACCTTTTTTCCCCCACACCTTGTGCTCTGATGATTTTGCTTATTTTATACATAAGTACCTAAGGCTGGGAGGAGCTTCCAGGCCAGCAAGTTGATCCCCCCAAGAAGGATTTTGCTCATAGATGTTCTATAGTCTGAGGCTTCTGGACTTTCTTTTCTATATGCAGAGCATCAACTTTTCCCTATTTCTACTTTAAACATGTCACAATCCTTTCATTTTATCTCCTTCTCTGCAAGGGAAATATTATCTTTCAACTAAGAGCTCTTGCCTCAAATAGCTTTTCTGCAAAGTAGCATTTAACCTACCTCGCACTTCCTCTTCAAAATTCACTTGTATAGGATAAGCAGGACAAATTTTTTTAATCTCTTTTCATAAAAATTGCTGGTGCATGGGGGAGAAGCAGGCAATCCAAGCAATTGTCTGTCCCCTTCCAGCTTGAATGTTCTTTTCTGAATGTGGCAGCCAAGATAAGGCAGAGAATCCTTGGGGGAGGCTCAAGCAGCTCCCCACATTCCAAGAATGGATTTTCCCTCCTCTTGATAAAGGCCTGAACTGCCACAACAGGTAGAACTCCATCATATTGCACACCATGGGTTTGGAGCCCTAGTGTGATCAGGCAGCTCAGGTGGTTGCAGGTCATCCCACTCCTTCACAGAGGTTTGTCACAGCAGCTCACAGGAGCCATCTGGGTCCCTCCCGTGGGGTATGGGCAGCAGAGAGCACCTGGCAAGTCCCTTCATCCTGCTTTTGCACTTGTATTCGCCATGGCATTAAATCATAAATCCCAAGTCAATGTAAAGAGTTAACTGCTGCTCTAGGATGTTCAGTCTTGCTGCAGATTAAACTCTTTCCTTGGTTTCTCAGTTGGCTTATTTCCTCTGAAGCAAGAGCTGCAGTGCCAATTCCTTCTGCAGAACATGCACCCGCCAAAGGAGCTATGTCTTGGCACAGATAATCCTCAAGAAACCAGGAAAATGTTAGTGCCTTCAGAGCAGTTTTGTTTTGCTAGGCTTTCTGCACACCTCAGAAGTAAAACAGAATCACAGAAGTTCCTCCTGCTGTTTGCAGTGCACAAACACCACGAGTCAGAGCATTTCCCAGGGGCACCACCTTTGGTGTGACAGAGGCTTTGCTCACCCAGCCTCCAGCCCTCAGTAAACAGGTAACCAACCCAGCAAACTGCTCCAGCTGCAAGCACACAGCCTCCAGGGAGGGCTGGACAAGCCTTTCCAGAATTAGGAATGGGCCAAAGAAAGGACTTGCCTTCTCACCAAGGTCCCAGGAGACTTCAGCTTCCATTGGACTGCTGGGCAAATCTCTGGGAATAGCTCTAAGTTCAAGTTCAGACCTTCAAACAGAGAGCCAAGGAGGAACAGGCCCACAAATGTTCCTGCTATCCACTGAATCTTCTCCAAAAGACAGGAATAGAAGTCCCACCATCCTTCTATCCCCAGAGCTTTTGCCCTCTCCTGGGCATCTCCTAAGCCCCAGATGTGGTGGCTGGAGTCTGATGTCTGCCAGATGTCTGTCCCAGATGTGGTGGCTTGAGTCTACTTAAAGTATCACGGGTCATTAACTCTGTCCTGCCCAGCCACACTTTGCAACCCACATACCTCTAATGCCTTCTTGTTCTTGATCTCCTGAGGGCATTAACAAGCTTAGGTAAAGCAGTTTGTTTTCACAGCTTGACTGGGCCATTGAAATTACTGCCATGGTCAGCCCCGGGGGCCCCAGGATACCTGTGTGGTTTGGGTGAGTGGAAAATGGGCAAAAGAGAGAAATAACAGAACAAGAATGGATTGCTGAACCAAGATCGAGTCTGGCATAGCTCTTAGTGCTGGCATTTTAGTCCAGGTAAGAGTGTGACTTAATGGAGTTATTAATGAACTTTTCTGCCTTTCAATGTGTGTTTTTAGGTGATTGCTGGCTCCTAGCTGCCATTGCATCTCTCACTTTGAATCCAGATATTCTGTTCCGTGTTGTCCCCAAGGCTCAGAGTTTCCAGAAGGACTATGCTGGAATCTTTCATTTCCAGGTACCTGTATGATCAGGGGATTGAGAATAAAAAAGGAAAATACTTGTATTTAACTAGAAGCAGCTTTTTTTGTTTGTTTGTAACACATGAAATAATCAACAGTTACAGTGTGTATGTGAAATTGATGGGGGAGAGAGAAAGAAAATAAGAACAGAGTTAAATAATGTTAAATGAGATCTGCTCACTGGTGAGGTTCTGCTGTCTTACAGCTGATGGGGCTCTGGGGAGCTGCACAGATTTTGTGTACTGAGCCAAACCATCAGGGTGCATGAGCCCAAACCAAGCTCTTGTGCTGCTAGCTATGGAGAGTGAATTCAGGCTGGTGTGGTTCTTTTTCCTACTTCCCCTTCCCTCTCTGCTTTGCCTTTACTTCCTTGTCTGTGGAGGCAGAGTGTTGAGATTTAGCCAGCCTGCTTTGACTGGAGGGTGGGACCAGTCTGGATTCACCTTGCTAAAGGAGCAGTTCTGGTGAGGACAGAAGTTTTAGGACACATACCTAGCCCTCCACCAGCTGGCCTTTGAGTGTTATGGTGTGAATTATCATCTCTCCTTTCAGGAATGCAGCAAATCCTGGAGTAAACATTATTGGCTTTGAGGCCAAAATTTGGCACTAGCAGTGTTTCACGCATTTCCTAGTATTTTCAGAAGGAATTAGCACTATTGAGTGCTTCCCCTTTAGAGGACCTCTCCTTACAGCCAGTTTTACAGGCGTTTTTATTTCTTTCCCTTAAAGTTTGAGCCTGGAGATAGCTCAGAGTATCCTATCTCCATGCTGGCTTTCTGGCTGTCCACCATGTAAACTCAGTTTACATGTCCAGACAGTGTTTTTGATGCTATCTACAACAAGAGGCCGTTAATATTTCCTATCAGCAAAATTTAATATAGCATTAAGAAGCCTGATGAACAATCCACAGAGCTGAGAGGAGTTTGTCTCTATTACAAAGGAGAGGAATCCATGCAGGGGGAGGTGACAACAGGTGAAGGGCTAGGAGGATGGTAGGGTGGAGGGGCTGTGGGCACACCAGCCTCCATCATCTTTTATTTTCTTCTTTCCCTCAGTTCTGGCAGTATGGGGAGTGGGTGGACGTGGTGGTGGATGACAGGCTGCCCACCAAGAACGGGAAGCTGGTCTTTGTGCACTCGGAGGAGGGCGGCGAGTTCTGGAGCGCGCTGCTGGAGAAAGCCTACGCCAAGTGAGTGGGGCTGGGCTGGAGCTGTGCCCCTGCTGGTGGCCCAGCCCAGGGATGCCAGTCACAGCACCCTTCATTCTAAGGCAGCCTCTCTCTGCCCAGCATTGACAGCCCCCTCTGGGTCCAGAAAGGGCGCTGCCAGCTGTATTTCAAGGGGCTTGGATTTTCTTGTTTGGTCACACTGATGACCAACCAAATTCAGAGATACTAAATGACAAACCCTCCTTTCTGTGCTACCTTGTGCTTGCAGGTGGAGATGGACCCTTGTATAGCTCTTATAATTTCTCCCCCAGGTTGAATGGCTCTTATGAAGCTCTGGCAGGAGGGTCCACTGTGGAGGGCTTTGAGGATTTTACTGGAGGCATCTCTGAGTCCTATGAGCTGTGCAGGGCTCCTTCAAACCTGTTCCAAATCATCCAGAAGGCCCTGAGAGCTGGGTCACTGCTCGGCTGCTCCATCGATGTAAGAGGCTGACAGAGCTTTACTCTCCTTACTCCTCTCCTCTGGGCTCTGGCCCATACTGTGACAAAAGCCCAGACCAAAGTAAGATATAGGTAGGAAGGTCTGATATAAGAGAAAACTGAATTAATGTGAGATCTTCATTGATCAAAAAATTTGGACAAGGTTCTAAATAACCAATGCCCATCCTTTCTCCCTGTTTACATGACAGCATGTGATAATACTTAGAGCTCTGAACGACTTGGTGGTCTTCTGGAACTCCATTCTCTGAATATCTTTTCTCATTCAAATTTTGTGTGATTTCAGCTCCAGACACTAGACTGCAGTGGCAAACTCACTGAGTCACTTTGTTGTAGCATTAGTCTGGTTCTGGCTTTGGTTTTCAGTCCTAACGATTAGTGACACCTGTAATACAAACACTCTCAAATTACAGATGATGTTTGAACATGTTTTGGAAACTTCACACCTTTCACATCCGGTTTCATTATCTTGTTTGCATTGTGGCATATGGAATTACCCGAGTTCCAGTTTTGATATACTGTATCTCGACTGAGACAGGCTAGAGCTAAATTCATGTGAACATGTCTTTGCAGGTGGCTGGGTCTGTCACCTGAGCTGAGAATTGGATTTAGATTTAGATTTCATTGTACATTCTTGACTTCCTCCTGTGCTCAGATCACATATTAAGGGGCACGAAACTGCAGCTTTTGCTGTGGATCTCAATTTAATATACTTTGCATCAAGAATATTGGTATTCATTGTGCACACCACTTTGGATATTTCCCCCCATATTAATCTGCTTATGAAAGCTCAGTTCATACACAATATATATTATAAATGTGCATACTTTTATTGCTTCAGATAACTGCTACAGCTGAAATAGAAGCAATCACAAGTCTGAAGCTGGTCAAAGGACATGCTTACTCTATCACTGGAGCAGAGGAGGTAAGCCAGCCTCTCTGGGGCCATCATGCAAACCAGCTTGGGGCTGCAACACTGCAGTGCCTTCAACTTTCTGATGTCTTTCCGTGACTGACCATAAAAATGTTCCTAAATCATACACATTCATACAGAAAAAAGAAATACCTGTAGTACACAGGTCACAAGCTGTGTCACAGGTAGTGGTGTGGAGCACACTGGACAGTCTGCCACTTGTATGGTACCAACAAAGTGTAAAGGTGGGCCAAGCTGTTACCAAAATTCAGGATACAGAAAGCAGGAGCAGGAGAGGAGGCAACCATTCCCCACGTGTTTATGTTGTGTGAGGTGGGAGCGAGCACTTTCCCAGTCAGAGCTGATGGGAAAACATTAAAAGCCTTCTTGATGAACTCTGCTATGAGTCTCATCTTCAGAGCCAGCCCCAGTATTCCTGCTCCTCTGAAACTGGAATCATTACACAGATGTCCATGCCAGATAACCTCCTTCCAACCTTGCTGTGTTGTGCAATGTCTCCTGCTTTTGAGGATGTAGATATTCCGTTGGTTTGTAGCTGATGATTTTCCTTGCAGGTTGCTGTCATTATATGAAATGGTGAGTGCTGCAGCTAATGGCTCACTTGGTGGCACAAGATAATGTAAAATAAGGGTGGAAGGCATCTAGGTGTCTTTTAACTATTGCAAATTGTAATGGACTACATCACTCAAGTACAAATCATGTTTTATCCTATCTGAAAAGCAATTGCCCTCTGGTGATTGGAATAATGGAAGTGCTCAGGCTGTGTTTGTTGTGGATCTTTTAGGTATATTACCGAGGACGGCCAGAGAAACTAGTGAGGCTTAGGAATCCCTGGGGTGAAGTAGAATGGACTGGATCTTGGAGTGATAAGTAGGTTTTTATATGCCCATGCTTCTCTCTCTTTGGTGTATTTTGGAATCTATTAAAAATTAAATTGAGACAATGCAGTTAATCCAATCAAAAAGCGCATTTAGGAGAGATATTAAATCACTTGGAATAAAACACTATTAATTTATTATCAAGTTTGGATATTGACCCATTCTTTCCAGTGGGCATTAATATCTGCCTCAGGCAGAGCCTTTTCATGGGAGACAACATCCCTTGGTCTAACTCTGAGTAGCCCAATGCAAGCCATATCCACGTTTTTGCAAGACACTTTTTCTCAGATTGATCCTACCAATGGTTCCAGGACCTAAGTAAAATATGCAAACAAGTCCTGTTGCTGTGAGTTAAAGCAGGGATAAACCATTATACCTCTGCTTTGACTCTGAGGTTTCTCAGCTATAAATCACACCAGAATTTGGTACCTCTCTGAGAATCTTGAAAAAGTGGGGGTGCTGACTAAGATAAGGACACAAAAGTTTCCAGATCTCTCAGAAACTGCCTGGGCTTCAACTAGCTTGGAATCTTGGGAGCATGGTAGTGACAACACTTCTTTTTTTTAATAATAAATTTAGAACGGCATACATTTTACTGCCATTTGGGCCACAATATATTTTTGCATGAAGCACTTTGAGATTTCAGTTTCCTGTTCTGACTGACTGCAGCCTGGGTGCTAATATATTATAACTAAGGATACAGATAACATTGCAATTAATTTTACTTTTATCAGATCTTCTTTGCTCAGCCCAAAGGTAAGGTGCCTCAGGCACACACACATGCCATATCCTGGTTTTGTCACACCTGTTTTACCATGGGACAACCTTGCTGAGGCAGATGCAGCACTGCATTGTCACATGGGAGCAGATCAGAGCAGAATCCATCCTGGGCACATTAATATCAGAATGGGAGCAACATTGTTTTCTGCAGGAAATTTTCTGATTTCACCTTATTACTTTCCTGTTCTTTCATGACCCCCAACAATGGAGGTTATATCATTTCCCTAGGGAGGATATCAGGCACCCCAATAGATCTTAAAATGCAGAAGCTCTGACTGACTTTCAGGCTGTGAATTTCCTAATCCAGCCAGTCTGTTTGTACCTTCTGGCACCTGGCAGGGGAGATTCAATTCAAGGCTGATTTGTTGCAAATGCTGTTGCAGTCTATTTCCAGCCCAGCACAGTCAGGTTGCAGGTTGTCATTTGGAGGGGCACAAGGTCTATTTGTTGAAGAAATATATACTCCTTTATCAGCCCAAAATAGAATCTAACTCAGATCTCACTGTAGAATAAAATGCAACAGCTGAACAGTGTGCTTTTGTGCTTTGTCTGCAGTGCTCCTGAGTGGAATTATGTGGATTCCAAACAAAAGCAGGCTCTGGATAAACAAGTAGATGATGGAGAGTTTTGGTGAGAATTGTTAATTTAGCTTACTTATTTCGATATTTTATGTGCCTTAAGCAATCCTTTCAATTGGATGGAGAAAAACTGCCAGCATCAAAGGGGTTAATAAAGGCATGCATGCATTGTTAGAACTCTTATTTATCTCCCTTCCTATTCAAATATTACCTTTTATTAGAGCTTGCATAACTCGGCACTTATCCAAAATATAGAGACCAGATGGTAATAAAATTAATGAGGTGGCAAGAATGAACCTCAGCTGCTCTACATTCTGAGGTTTGTTTTTTTGCCTAAATGCTACATACAAATGAAAAAAATTCAGATTACCAGCTTGGGAAGAGCATGTTTATTCAGACCTAACAGAAAGCCTGTCCTAACCCTGATCTGGTTATAGATGGATCAGTGCTGAAGTGATGCCACTCTGTCCTAGCCTGGAAAGATAAACAGCCACTGTCCTCCAGTGCAATCAGCTGCATGGGCCATCAGGCACGAGGAAATGAGAGCAGACCTCTGCTTGCAGCATGAAGTAATCTAGGTCTGTCACTCACGCAAACCTACTAGGAATGCTAAAAACAAACATCAATGATAGGACTGAAGCAGAACACCAAACTGAGGCAGTTTTCCTACAGAGTCATGCTTTCACAAGGGCCAGCTCTTACTCCCTTTAAATGGGATCTCCTCACACATATTGTTTCAGCAGTTCCAGTGAATTTGTTTATGAAGCATGATCCATGAGGGATTGGCCACGGCTGGGGATGACAGAAAAAGGTTTGACTGAGCCCATAATGTGTAACAGCCACTGACAGAGGCTGTCTCCAAAAGATATGCCTCATTCAGGCAGTAGGCAATTTTGTTTTCCAAAAGCCAGTTCCAAGTTTCAGAATTCAATTAAATGCAGTTTTGGACAGTTCTGCAACACCAATGTTTGCTGCCCTGTTGGGAGAGGTGTCCAGCCACAGCCACCTCATCTGTTGCAGGCTGATGGGCTAACCTGGTCTCTTTGTGTGCCAGGATGGCATTTTCAGATTTCCAAAGGCATTTCAGCCGCCTTGAGATCTGCAGTTTGGCTCCTGACACACTGACAAGCAACAAGGTCGACAAATGGGACCTGACCCTGTTTAATGGAGAGTGGAGACGGGGCTCATCTGCTGGGGGCTGCCAGAACTACCAAGGTAAGGACTCAACCAGATGGGCCTTTGGTGCAATCCCAAACAAAGCATTCAAACACTGCTCGTGAACTGGAGGGGGATAAGGTGAGAAAAAACGAGCTTGGAAGTGCAAGAATTCCTGTGGGGTTTAGACAGTGAGCAAAAGCCTGGGAGTTTAAATGAAGATCTAATTCACACTTATTTCCTCGTGTGGGATTACCAGCCCACCAAGCAGTTAATAAATGGTGATATTATTTTTTTTTTCTATCTGTTTTTCCTGCTTACATGGCTTTAGCTGCTGGCTGGAGTTATCCTCTGAAGGATTGGGTAGGCCAGGAAAGTGTCACAGTTCAGTGGCACTGCTATTTCCAATTCGTTTTCAGGTTGCCTCTGGAGATAGTGTCTGGCATTTGGTCCTCTTGCAACAATTACAGCCTCAGCCAAGGACATTTCCTGGAGATAAATGACTGGCTGGAATTAACAGTATCAGCTCCTCCCTCTTGGTCATTAGTCCCAGGAAACACCCTGGTGCTTTGATTTCCCGTAGCTCCAATTGATACACAGCATAGCTGTGAAAACATAAACCCATATAACTCAATAGAAAACTCCAGGCTATAGTCCTTCCAGGGAGATATTCTCTGTAGGTCTAGTGACAGCCCATCTTGGCTGCAATGACAGCAAAGCCTCCTCTTTTTTGTCTCCTGTTGGGAATTCTTAGCAACCTACTGGACCAACCCCCAGTTTAGAATCCGGTTGGATGAAGCAGACGATGACCACGAAGGGAGTGTGAGCGAGCCATGCTGTACAATCCTGGTGGGCCTGATGCAGAAGAACCGCAGGAGACAGAAGAGAATGGGAGAAGGTCTGCTCAGTATTGGTTATTCACTCTACCGGGTAAAGTTTGTTCCTCATTTTAAACACTTTATTCCTTGTTCTGTTAAGCTGGAAAAAATTAGCAGCTTGCTACGTCTTGACACTCAGCACTACGCTTCAATAAGATCTGGATTTTGCAAAATGATTCAATTACTTCTCTCATGTCTTCCTGACCCCCATAATATGGGAAGGCTCAGATAAATTGAGGCTCAGGTTTTTTCCCACTTCGACAGGATAGCAGTGTGAGTTATTGAGCCAGTAATTTAGAAACAGTCTCATTGAGAATCTTCTTTTACAAAATCTGAATGGGGGCAGGCTTGGGGTGCCTGGCAATTACAGATAAGTGTTTCTGATTACAGCCTATCATTAGCCCTCAGTAGTCACTTTCTTTTTTGTTATTATTTGTCTGTTGTATTTCAAACTTTTTTAGATCCATTGTCTGCCATATGCTACTGTTCTGATTCAGTAAATTTGGGGGTTTGTTTTCCCTGATTTTCCCAGTGCTGCTAAAAATACAATGTCAGGAAAAAACCTACTGTGTAATCTCTAATTTCTGTGGTGTGAGCAAATGTAAAAATTTCCAACCAATATCATATGTGAAGAAAAGCAATTAAATGTTGTATAGACTCCACTGGATGAAGATCATTAGCCAGCACAGGTGGAGCAGATGGGAATGCCTGACTTTTGCTAATAGATCTTGTGCGGGATGGCTTGAAATTATGAAAGATTTTTCCTGGTGCCCAAAGGCCTGCATGGACACTTGGCTCTCACTGAGCACATTTCTGAGCTGCCTTCTCCAGGGAACCAAGCCCCCTCACCTATCAGCATCCCAAACTTGTTCATTATGGGCGTCTGCCTGGTCCCATCACTGAATGCAACACAGGAGAACTTCTTGTGCTTCACATCTATTCCATCCCATCTGTGTCCTCTGTGGCCTTACCCACATTAGGGTAGACTAGGTGACTCTTAAGTCCTTTAGGTGACTTTTAAGATGTTAATTTTTTTGGAAAACTTGGCTGCTAAGTCATGTCAGATGGGCATCCAGCTATGATCCCAGCTCCTTGGATCATGCACTGTGGCAGGTTTGCTTCACTGCAGCTGCCTGCTGGGGAGCTCCAGTTAGGACTGCAGAGATGATGACCTAAAGCAGATCTCTCTGCAGGAGAAGGTGAAGAGATGTGTGCTCAAGTCTGCCTACCTGCCCTGCAGAGCTTTTGTGAGCCCTGTAGCTGCCTGCTGACAACAGCTGTGTGTCCATCACCCAGCTCCTGCCCTTCCAGTGTGCTGCTGAAAGGCAACAACACCTGAGGTCTCCAGGGGCCACTCAGGCCCCAGAAATGTTGTATGGGTGGTATTTTTAAGAGCTCTTTTGGGGCTTGGAAAGACACTCTCTTTGGCTCTCACTGGAATCCGTGCTCTCAAGACAACTCATTGCTTTTTGAAAATTTGACTTTTATTTGGAGGTACAAGTTCACATAGTGATTCAGTTAATTTAAGAAGGGCCAAATATTGAAACTTGCTACTTGTTATAGCTGCCTCACAACAATCTGATCATCCCCAGGCTGACTGCTAGTGACAGTAGCCTCATATTTTCATCATATTCAGTAGCAGTAGACCCGTGGAGTTTGGGTCTGCTGTAACAAACTCTCTGGTTTTGGTTAGCAAAGTAGAACTAACTTGTTGACTTTTCTGACTGAGCAATTAAAGATTTACTCAACTATTTCCAACCAGCAGTATAATTCACATCACCATATCAGGGGAAAATCAACTCAATATTCTGTAGATTTCTCTGGATGAAGATTCAGTTTTCCCTTTGGAACAGCTCTAGGACAAGACAGAATTTAATGTGTATCTGATACTATTATATGTGGTTGTAAATGAATTTTTTTAAAAAAAAGTGTCTGAAAGCGGTTTTGTCTGATTTTTTTTTCCCTACTGATAGGTGCAGGAATATAGCAGCACTTTAACATTTTTTCTTTCCCTTCCTTCCAGATTCCTCAGGAGGTATGTAGTTTCTGATGAAGACTTCCAGCCTCCACACAGGCACCTCCTCTTGCACTGGAGAATTTAGCTGCCACGATGACTTCTTCCTTACTAATGATAGATATCTCTTCTGGAGAGCTTTGCCCTTGAATCACTGGACCGATATCTCAAGTTCTGAATAATCATTTTCAAGGGACTGGGGCACAAGAATTTATTACAGATGTCTTACTCCCAGTCTTCATCTCATTTATACTTGTTGAAATTTGGCTTCCAGGAAGTTTGTACAACCAAGGTCAGAATTTGTCTGTTTAGCTCAGGTGAAGGCAGAACAGGATGTCTGCGCTCTAAAACTGAGAAAATGTAGCCAATATTGTTTAGAAGAAGTGCCACGTTCTGTGGATCCATTCCTTTTACAGTTCTGAGCTGGGGCTCCTGGTGATGAACAAGCCCTGCTCAAATTCCCCTAATCCCCCCAGATGTCAATACTCAGGCAAAGAGACTTTTCATGGCTGAAGAAAGAGACCCCAGGGGTGTCTGGCAGTAGGAATAGCCTATACTCATTATTGAGGTCCAGCAGCCTATGCTGCCAATTTTTCCTCGGCTTTTCAGCCCTTTTCCTCTCTCAGTAAATGAATGTGTGGCCATGCAGCAATTAACTGTGTTCTTTTAGCAGCCTTGCAAATGCAAAGGGAAAATGAACTCTATATACTGGGGAAGATATGGATCTATCTTCTTAACCTTTGCAGTTCCACTTAGCTTAATATTGAGTAGGGGAAAAGGATGGGGGTGTTGAATAAGTACCAAATTCAATCTTATCTCAGAACAAAAGTGGAAAAACCTGCATATTTTTCTACAGTTTACAACAGAAAACGTGAATGATTATACAATGTTTGGTAAGATTTTTGCTTTCTCTGGTCTCAGACAGACAGACACCTTATCCCTGCATCAGCCACACTGCATTTTTTGTGTGTCACTGAATCATACCTTTTGAAAGACATCTTTGTGGAGGAAAAGTCATGAATAGGAGTTTTACAGCAGGGATGTTGTTCTTACACCACTGTTCCTTCTTATGTCAGTGTTTTATTTTATGAACTGTGCAAGGCTTAACTTCCTAAAGAGTATATTTGTATTAAGGAAAATTTAAGTACTGTTTTCTACAAAATCCAAATGAATACCCTTAGTATTACTAATAGAAGTTAGGTAAATCATGTAATGTGGCCCCAAAAGTGGCACCCTTGTGACTACTGCTTTGTTCTGTATACTATTCTTTTCTGTCTATTTAAAAAAACCCCAGAAACTACAATTCCTATGCAATTAGGAAATTTATTCCATACCATAAATTGCTCAAAAATATTCTGAATATTAGATTTTTCCACAAGCTGCCTATGAAAGCAAAAAAATGCTCAATGCACGGAAAATGTACATTGTAGTAATTTGATCAGATATGAGCACGCGTTATGATACTTTTATTTATTTTAGTGTACCAAGTGTAAGGAGGCATGTGAAAAGATAATCTTTAGAGAGGAAGATTCTTCCCCTTTCTAATCTTCTGCCTGTTTCCCCTGACAGAACCCTGGTGGGTTTTTTTTTGGTGCCATCCCTGAAGGATTTATTATTTTACGCAAAGAAAAGCTTGAGATGGCTTCGAAGCGCTGAAATTGAAATCGGGTGGCTGGCTTACCAGGGAACTGCCAAAGGGTTTCTAACAAAAACACACATTCTCCACAGCTGGAAAACAGCACAGATGTGCATGCAGGCCGTGCTTTCTTTGCAAGGCACCAGCCAGCAGCCCGGACTGCGTCCTACGTGAACCTGCGCGAGGTGTCCAGCCGCATGACGCTGCCCCGGGGACAGTATCTCATCGTGCCCTCCACCTTCGAGCCCTACAAGAGCGGGGAGTTCTGCCTGAGAGTTTTTGCTGAGAAAAGGGCGAAATCACAGTGAGTACCTTCCCCTTCCCCTTCTGCTGGGGAGGCATGCAAAGGAGAATGTTGTGCACAGCGGTGCAGGGGCTTTGCACCACCTAATTAGTGGTTTGTTAATCAATCTCATCTGTCTGCTCAGAGCCAGGATTAACAGAAACACGGTTGAAATGTTTTTTCTCGTGTTTGGGCTTGGATGTTTATTATATCTTATCAGAAAGTACAGAAAGTATGACAGCACTTCCAGCTCCTTGCCAGAAGTAAGGAAAAATGGCCACAGAGGCAACTGCTACAAGGTCTTTTAAGGCTAAATAAGTCCAATAGAGAATCCACATCTATATTATTTATACTTTTGACCTAATAACTAGATTCCCATGACCCTTAGAGTGACACTGACTGACCAACCAGAAACTACTATCTGGAAACCATGAAGAAGAGAGAAGAAAGATGAACAAAGAGACAATGCCCAAAATCCACCATCTTGTCCTATACTTATTACTATATTATAAAATCCTCACATTTAAAACCCATCACCCTGTGAAAGCACATACTTCTAATTCACAACACACTCATGATTTCTACTTCACCACTGATATTTAGGAGCTTTCTCCTAGGACTCAGGTCAAACACAGTGTTTTCCAGGGGGCCTGTGCCTGAAAGCACAGAAAGCTCAAAAACTCCAGATTTCTGGGATCCAACAGGAGGTCACGTCTTGCATCCACACCCTGGGCTTGATCTTTTGTCTTAACCAGCAAAATAAGCCCACATTTCCACAACCCATTTTTTCCACAGTGTAGCACAGTGAACACACATCCATGGCAGATGGTTTTTCAGAGTCATGGCTCTCAGAGGTGTCTACTAAACATTCAGCTGGGAACAAGATCCCTCAGCTCTGTGAAGGAGAAGTTCCCACAATGAAGGAGTGCAGGATTTGAGACTATGATTATGATGATGAGACGATTTTAAAAAGGGTTGTATCGATAGCAACCATTGGATGAAAAAACAGGAGTCTGGATGGAAGACAAGAGCAGCAAGGTGTCATTTCCCATGGCAAATACCTTCAAAGAGTTGGGGCAGGCAGAGGTGGGATGTGGAGCATGGGAAGCAGGAAGCTTGGGGACTTGTTCTGTGCATTTATTAACACCTTATATTTAAACAAATTTCTTTTCCCCCTTTTGCTAATTATTTTAAAGATAAGACTTTAAAGTAGACTCATCATTTTTGGTTGTTGAATTTTTTCTCTTTTTTTTTCCTCAGGATGATGGATGATGAGGTGTCTGCAAAGCCATACGAGGTTAGACACCCTAACTGGGCAGAGTTTTCTTTCATAATGTGGAAGTAAAACAGGGGCAAGATTTTTCTTTCTCACCGGAGCTGGGATTACAGAATGCTTTTGTGCTGAGGAGGAATATTTTTTGCTCATCGGGATTTTTTACATATATCCATGTCTTAGTTTCACATTCATTCTTATGTACCTGGGCCATGTGGCACAGAAACTTCACCCATGTAGACTGAGCTGGAGCACATTCGATTGTCCTTACCTCCAGCATGGGTAGGAGAAGGTGGAGAGGGCACATTTCCATAAAAACAAATCATCTTCCTGAAGCCTGGGAGAAGCTGAGAAAGGCTTCCAAGGAGCTGCTGGATTGCTCTGGGCAAGTGCAACAACATTTTCACTGTGGCTGTTTTCTAAAACTATCTTGGTAACAGAAGAAGACTTTCTCATCAGCCTTAGGAAATATTTGCCCTCAAATACAGCCTCTGGCTGCTTGTGACTTAAGCAGTGCCTGTTTTGCCCTTGCTGCAGAGCACAATGCTTATTTTCTGTTGCTGTAAATAAACTCCTGTACAACATCTTTACAATATCCACAGCTCACTTTCTAGAACCACCTTGCTAACCACTCTCTTGGCCATCCCTTTCCTCTAGCCTCAGGTTGATAACAAAGATACAGACGATGAGTTCAAGACTCTATTCCAAAAGCTCTCTGGAGAGGTAAGTAGATTAAAGTGAACAAAAAAGACCAAGACCTCTCTGTTATGATTATACAAATATTTGACTTGCCAATTCCTTTTACTGTCTGTTCAAAAACCCAAGTATTTCTCCCCTTTTATTATCTCACAGCTTCAGTTCAGTTTATTTTACAATAGAGAAGGTTTTCTACATTGTTCCTCTTATTGGTGCAAAATGTGGGGTTTTTTTCCCCTTGGTAATGCAAGGCAGGGAATAACTTTGAAACTAGGGGCAATAGGAGTGAGAACTGTGAAAATATCATCCCAGGGTGAAATAAATTACCTGTGGAGTTATCATATAATTCTGACAATTGCTTGGCTGGCCAATTCCTTCCTTTTTGTTTAGCCCCAGGAATCGGGAAACTGTTGGCTGGGCTTTTTCTCTACTTAATGTATTTGAAAAACAGTATCTACAAAGCCCTGCCACGTTAGCCTGTGGCTGTCATGTCAGATTTCCTCTTAATGAACGTGTGGCCACTGCTGCTGCAGAGGGAAAACATCTTTTTAGTTAGGAAGATCTTTCTGAGTTTTGAGAGGGCAATTTTAGAATTGTTTGGTTGTAGTTTCCACAAGCCCTGAAAAATCTCAAATGTTTTCCTGGACCTTCTTATTCAGTCAAACCTTTTAAAAAGTTGCTATTTACTTGGTCATGTCGTCATAGCACCTAACAAACCACTTATTTCCTGGTTGAATGTATAGGAAATATGATTGGTATTGAAGATCTTCTCCCTCTGATATCTGAGCGTAAATGTGAAGGGTTAGAAAAAATTAAGGGCTTACATGCCTTATATTTGGAAAGAAAATAGTCTCTGGATGTCTGATAGCAAATCAATAGAGCTTGTTTCTCTCACAAAAAAAATATTTTTTTGTGTTAACACCTACAGTATGTTTTGTTTTCCGTCCAGGACTGTGAAGTGACTGCAACTGAACTTCAAAGGATCCTAAACCGGGTTTTGGCAAAGAGTAAGTGACATTATGTACTTCCCATTGGATGGAGCAGAAAATGGGGTTTGTGCTAACAAAACCCAGCTCTGTCAGCTAGGGATGATGAAAAACTGAGTTTGTGTCTGGTCCCAGCTGAATTTCTCCTGGCTTGTTGAACCTCTAAATATGGGGTGGAGTGGAAATGCTGCTTCCCTTCCAAATGCTGCCAGCAGATGTTCTGTAGAGGCACAACATTCCCTGTACTTTTCTGGGAGGACCACCATGGGCAGTGTTATGCTGCTGCATGACTTCTGTGGACAGAACCACCAAAACAACTAACATCCCCTCCCACTGTGGGAAAAAAAACCCCAAAAACATATTAATCAACTGAAAGAACATAGTGGGAGAAATGGCAGAGCATTTACTTTGCTACCAAGATTTTAAGGTGGTTGATATCTGCAGCATTGTCCGCAGAAAAATATTTGTCTTAAACCATTTCTGACTTGGACTTTTATATTTCCTTTTCGTACAGGAAAGGATGTGAAAAGTGATGGATTCAACATTAACACTTGCAGGGAGATGATCAGCCTTTTAGATGTATCCTTTGAATGTTATTTCACCTTGAAAGCTTCTGGATCTCTTTTGCAAAACTTCCTGACAAGCTGGGCTAAGTTTACACCTCAATTGTCCTGGCACATGGCTGGGGGTGAAAAATTCAGCCAAGCATCTCTATCAGCTCATGGTGGCAGAAACCTGAACCATTTAATCATCAGCTGCTTCTCTCACCACATCTCTCATTGCTTAAACTTTTTCCTAAATATAGTGGGGAGAAGAAGTAGGGCCTTTCTGCCTGGCTGCACCTGTGCAGTTCCAGGTGCACACACAGCATGCTTGGCAGGATGCAGGTTTTGAGCACATCCTCAGCTGCTGTCTCTGAGTCAGCTCCTGCTTACAGAGCCCCGAGCTCACAGCAGCAGGGACAGGCTGAGCCTGCTCCCAGGGGGAAGGCTGCAAGTACCAGCAGTGCCTGTCTCCCTTCTGCATAACTGGGAGGGCACTCGGGAGCTTATAAGGCTTGAGTAGCCAAGGGAAAAGGAGAGGTGAGCACCTCTGCCCAGGCTTGTGTAGCCAAAGGAAGAGGAGAGGCCAGCACCTCTGCCTGGTGCTCCTTTGCACTGGTAGGGTGAAGAGCCGTGTTGCCAGGATCTCGCTGGTGTTGGTGTCATGGCATGGCCATATTCAGCAGGGATTCACTGTGGATCCTGTGGATAACTGGCTGTTAGAAGTGATGCCATTGCCCTACACTTCACAGGCTCCCAAGCCTAATGGGGTAACTCAGTAAGTACAGTGTGATGCTGTCCAAATCCCTGTTTCTGCATAATTTTCCATTGGAAGGGATGTTCAAGCCCTGAAGGACAAGGGAGAAGACTCTTTAGATTGCCACTGGACTCTTCACTTGCAGCTCCTGCCTCTGGTTTCTAACAATTGTCTGCTGCAAGGCCAGCCACTTTTCCCCCTAAGGACTCTAATCTACTGTTAAGTGTGCAAAATGTGAGTGCTTTTAATCATGCTTATATATTTAGCAATCCCATACATCATTACTTGAGAGGGAAGATAGCCTAGAAATTCTTGGCATGCCTTTAGCCAAGCAAATGTGGAGCTGTGGGCATGTCTGTGGGAGATGGAGATGCATTATAAATGAGAACTAAACTGGCATTAACATGACACTGTGATGGGTGAGTTGTTTTTACTAGAACTGATTGCTCTACAGTTTTGTTAAGGATAAAGGAATCCTGATTTTTGAACCATGCCTTAACACGGCCCAGACCGATGGGACGGGCACCTTGGGACTTGTAGAATTCAAGACACTTTGGATGAAGATTCAAAACTATTTGGTAACAACATTTCTGACTCTGTCCCCTTCCCTCCCCTCTCAGCTCTGGAGTACAGAGCCAGAACTGAGATAGAGTTAAACCCTCCCAGGCAGGTATAATTGGAAGCCTTCCTTCCCAGCACTCTGAAACACCTCTCACTCAACAGGGCACAAGCAAATCCTCTTTCACCTTGGCATCATTCTCCATAATTTGCAATACCTTACAGAAAGACAGATTAACTCTCTTTGATTGTTGGCAAAGACAGCTCTCTCTGCTGCCTGCTCTATTAAAGCTCATGTGAACATATCTCGGCTGTTGCAATATGTTGCATTTCTGGCTGAGCATAAGCAAACACAGGAAGCATATTTTTAGGACCTACAAAAAACTGCCTTTGTATTTTTGAAATCTTGTAGAACTGCTGAATTGCATTTCTGGTAGAGGATTTAACATCCCAGGAAGTTCTCCCAGAATGAAGCAGTCTAAAGGAAGGTCAGATTTGGGCTTTCCTGGTGTGACCACCTCCCTTTCAGGCAAGCCTGCCACCACCATACTTGATGTTGTTCATCACAGAACATCTGCCCTGGAGTCTCATGAGGAAATCTTGGGTTTATGAAGACCCAGCTCTGTCCTAAGACAGAGAAAAGCAAGCCCTGGGACCCAAATCCAGTATTAACTGTAGGTCTGGATGGCTTCTAATCCTGGATAATAAACCTGCTGGCAGTAGGAGGCATCTGTCATCTTGTCTGAAATATTAAGCAAGATGGACTTGGTCTGTTGCAGTGTTTGCCAAATGACAGGATATTTTCCTCAATGGCCTGTCTGCCACCATGTAATGTGAAGGCAGGCAAGCTGCCAGCCCACGGGAATGTGTTTCCCACTCTGCCTGGCTTGTCACTAGCTGCTTGAAATTTTTTCCTTGCTCATTAATGTTCCAGTCCCTGTCCCAGCCATCAGTGGGCACAGCAATGACAATGTGAGCATGGCAGAGGAAGGAATGATTGTCCTGGCACTGGTTAGCTGCACGAGCAAGGAGGATGGCAGGGGATGGGCTGCATGGTGGGCTCACAAACCAAGGTTAAAGCCTAGAGGAGCCCTCTGAGTAGTTCACTGTGGCTTGTAGCCCCTGATGAGACTTGTGTTGCCACATCTTCACAGCTGCTGTGAGCCAGCTGTGCAAGCCCAGCCTGTCTCCCGTGCCCACACCGTGGCATGCTGCAGGGGCACACACCCGAGTGCCCTCTCCCATCCCCTCCTTCCCCTTCCCCTCAGGCCATCTATAAGAAAGTGGACAGTGACTACTCTGGCACCATCGACTCCCATGAGATGCGGAATGCCCTGAGAGAGGCGGGTGAGTGCACTGCTCAGGGACACCATTGGATCACCAAACACTGGGAGAACAGCAGAGATTTTAATGGCTTTTCTTCTCTCCTGTCACCTAGATCACAGCATTGCCAGTGATATTCTCCCTTCCTGACAGTCACACACTGCAATCCTTTTGCTGTTTCATACATCAAACCCCATCCTCTGTTCTGCACTATGAACCACTGGTACTTTTGTCCATGCTGTGACCATTGCTTATCCATCTGATTATTACTTGCTCTATTTTTGGCCTCATTATTTCCTAATCTAATAGTCCTCTTTCAGAGCTATGCCCAAACCCCCTTTTTCCTTCATTTCCTCCCACCACCTTTCTCTCCTCTAGAGAAGGTGCAAGCCTTATCAAGGCCTGCCCCAATGATGTCCTCTCTGAAGCGTTCACTTTTGGAGCAGGGCTTGCCAGCTAAGGGGCATCTAGAGGAGCACTGGTTTTTTGATTTGTCTTGTGCTCAGGATTTTATGTGAACGATCCAGAGACAGAAATAGCATGAATATGGGCCTGAATAGAGCCCAATGTGTTATGTGAGAAATTGGCTCTGCTGCAATCTCTGCTATTCAGCTGCAGTGCCAAGATTCTCTAATTAGGGGTTTATCTGGGGAACATAGGACTGGTTATGCTGTGAAACAATGTGAAATATGCAGTCTGACAAAATGCTGTGGGAGAACTCCATGCCTCTCTCCAGCCAGCACAATGGGCTTTGGAAAGGACCCACAGAGATGGGTGTGGGAGGAATAGTCCTGCCCTTCAACCTGCAGCTGCAGCAGTCCACGGATCAGTCACATCCCAGACAGCAAATTCCCCTGCCGTGTCAGTGACTCCCGTGCTCTCCTGGCCGCAGGTTTCAGGCTCAAGGAGGAGGTGCAGCACAGCATCGTCACCCGCTACGCCTGCAGCACCAAGCTGACCATCGACTTTGATGGCTTTGTGGCCTGCATGATCCGCCTGGAGACCCTGTTCAGTGAGTGCCCAGGGGCAGCCCCTCAAAGCCTTGGGGGTGCCTTAGGTATTCGGTGTCTTTCAACTGTGTGAATGAAGCAAATTGTGTGGAAAGGTCAGGGTGCCAGCAAAATTGTGTCAGAGAAAGCAGCAGAGAAATGACAAAAGCCTGAATGACCACGGGGAGTAGGGGACATGCTTCCATAACAGACCATGGGAGCAGGGGACATGTTTCCATAGCAGACCATGGGAGCAGGGGACATGCTTCCATAACAGACCACGGGGAGCAGGGGACATGTTTCCATAGCAGACCATGGGAGCAGGGGACATGCTTCCATAACAAACCATGGGAGCAGGAGACATGCTTCCATAACAGACCATGGGGAGCAGGGGACATGCTTCCATAACAGACCATGGGGAGCAGGGGACATGCTTCCATAACAAACCATGGGAGCAGGGGACATGCTTCCATAACAAACCATTCTCTTGTGCTTTACAGTCACCTGCAGCTTTTGGCCAGTGCTCTGGCCCCCGCATTGTCCCAGCTCTGACAAATGGGACCATTTATCACTCGCAGTCCTTACTCAGACCTGATTTACAGGTTTGTCCCCAGATCATGCCAGATGCCACCACATCAGATTTTAGAGTTGTCCTGCTGCCAACTCCCATTTTGCTGCTGTAGATTTATTCCACCCCATGAAGCAGCTTAGAAATTATTTGTAAGAAGAAAGAAGAACAGCTGCAATATTATCTTAGAGAACCAGCCTAAATTTCCAGTAGATCATGGCAAAAAGCCAGACCTTTACATTTTGTCAGACAGTGATTCTGTATGTGCTGAACCCCATAGTTTATATTCAGTTTTTTTCCCTACTCTTCTACATTCCAGAAGTGTTCCATCTCCTGGACAAAGACAAGAATGGAATCATCCAGATCTCTCTTCCTGAGGTAAGGCTGATCAGATGGAAATACCATCTGATCCAACTGCAGCAGTAGACCACACTAAAATACACTTATTTAAATCATTATTAGAAGTGATTTAATTACTATTATAAGAGAAACATGGTAGTGATTCAAAGGGCAGGTTTGTTTATGTGAAAATATTATTCAGCCCATAAGGCCTGTCTGAATTAGTAGAATGAACTTTTACCTTTAGATGAGCAAAAAAGTAAAGATACCTTCAAAACTCCCAAGGCTGATAGAGAAGGTGCTTACACAGTGCATTTCACTATTCCTTTTTAGAGGGCAGTGGTCAATTCATTAGAAAACACACAGCAGGGAACTCTTCTTTTCTGGCAGAGAATGTACTGATCAACCTGCCAGAATTAGAAGAAACCTTTTAAGATGCCAGGTCTTTTTTTTCCCCCCACATTGTTTTTAATGTAAATTTTTCCTGTTGAAGCTGTTATAAAAGCAATCAGCTTGAGCCTTCCCTTTGCAGAATAAAGGTATATCTCAGGAAACAGCTGGAAGGAGCCCCAAGAGGTCCATCCAATTAGTCCTCTCAGCTGAAGACTGGCTAGAGGGGAGGAGGATGGCTAGGAAACCCTGTGACCCTCAGTCACAGTTAGTTAAATCGAGCTGAAATTGTACATTGTGTACTCCCACCCTACAGTTTTTCAAGGTTGAAAGTTGAAGCTTTCTCCAGCTCTCCTTTGGAAGAGACCCCACTTGCAATGTTTGAGGCTGATCCTGGCACTAGATTTCCTTGAAGTTCAAGAGTAGATGGATCTTACACATATAAAATATTAAAATGCAACTCCAGCCTTTCCCAGCTTGTTCTCCCAGAGGCATGGAAGAGTGCCCCAGTGGTATCCTGTAGACCTGATGCCCTGACTCCTTGTTCTGTTTCTCCCTCAGTGGCTGTGCTGCACACTGGTTTGAACCACGGTCAATCAATTCAGCAGAGACCTCTGAGGCTCTTCTGAGCATGAAACCTCTTGTTTGGCATCTCCTTGTTGTGAAAAACAGAAAGAGAAACTTGTTTTTATTCCTGGCAAGTTACTTTAAGACAACAAAAATGATCTACTGTCAGTTATAAAATAAATGCATTTTTAAACAAACAAATAAACAAGCCCAGCACTGACGTCCTTCGCTTTTCCTGCCCAAAGAGCATTGCTCCATGCCATGCTGAAATCTCATCAATTTTGACTTAGCATGCATGGGCCCAGGTGGGTATGGTTTGACTTCTGACTGTGCAGCAAAGTTCAGCAGTGTTCAAAATCCTGGAAGGGATCTCCATTGCTGCAGAATCCAGCATATGTTTTGCTCCATGCTCAAGAGCATGGGCAAAATTTATGTGGCTGCCCTGGCAACCTCCCTTTGCGGACAATTGTCTGCTTTGGCTGTGCCAAGTGTCTGCAGAAGCTGGGGCTGAGGAGCTCGGAGGCAGATGCTGAGCTGCTGGGAGCACAGAGGATTTGGGCACAGACACAGCTCCAAGGATTAACTGGGAATCAGGAAAATGTGATGGCACTCCTCCACAAGTCTCGGCTCGGTCCTCCAGGAGGAGGAAAGACGATGGAAGGTCAGACTCAATTTTCTGCAGTTATTTCAGCTGAGATTTTCTCCTGTGAATGCTTGTCCATATGCATGCCCAAAGATGGGATTTGGAGCTTTAGTTTAATGAGCGACTGGAGCTCAGAAGCTCATGAAGGCAAGAAACAAAAAATGTGCACGTAGGGGGTCCAGGAGCCTGAGAATGTGAGGGATGTACTAATGTGGATTGTGACTTAAAGAAGAAACTGAAGCTAGCTGGCTTCAGCTGTCTTAAACTTTGCACTGGCTCACAGTGCTGTGCTTTCTTGTCCTCTCAAAACAAGCTCCTCTCTACATTAAATTTCACAGCATTCTAAAGAGTAATATCATAGCAATGGAGGCAAGATAATCTAGCACTCTGTATTAGCAATTAGAAAATCAAGATAATCTAGCACTCTATATTAGCAATCAGAAAGTATTTCTGGAGCTTGCAGTAATGATCTGACAAGACCCTGCATGTTGTGGTCAGTGCCATGTCTGACACTTGTTCCCCAGGAGCAGAAGGAGTGCAGGCTGACATCTGTGTCCTCAGAGCAGATGTGGGGCCAAGATTCTGTCCCTCTCTTTCTCCACACCTGCTGGCTCCTAAGCTCTTTCTTTGAGCAGGAAGCCTTTGTCCGGTTCCCACCTCTGCACACAGAATGCCTTGTGACAAGCCCCACACCTCACATCTCCCAGCATTTCTTCTTGCTGCTGGCCTCTGACTCAGAGGGATGCATGACCTGTGTCAGTGCACGACTCTGCCTTTGTAATTGATGTCCTCTGCCAGTAAAAGAGAAATAAATAGTTAGTTTGGGTTGCAGGATAAAAGCAGCTGGAGTAGGAACCACAGGCTTTCCACCACTGTCCCTCTGCACATATCACTGGCCATGACCTGTGTGCAGCTGCCATGGGTTGCCACCAATTTCTCCTGGCAGATATTTGCCTGCTGACCAACAACAGATATCTGTGTACCTCCACTTGCCTGGAACACAGAGCTACCAGGGCGAGCTGAGATCTCCAAAACCACCAGAAAATTCTGGTGAATGCTCTGCCTGTTCAGTAGGACGAGCATGTCCCTCCCTGCCCTACATGTTGCATATGCAATGTCTCCTTGCTCACCATGCAGCGGGGTGAGCTGGCTGCTTGCAGCTTCAGATTTGCTTTCTGCTCACACGCTCTATTCATGAGTTCATTCCAATTATGGTGAGAGAGGCCTCTCTCCACAGGACTGGGAAAACTCCAACATATGCAGAAATCCATTGCATGCTCCTACTTCTCCTTTTAGAGCAAGCCAGATGCCCCCATCACAATAATTCTCACAGTTATCTCAATGGCTCTCACCCTCCTGTACACGATGGGCAGAGTGCTGCACTCCATCTTCCTTTATCTTTGGAAAGCAGGCAGCTCCGGAGGAGCCACCTCTTCTTTCATTTGTTCCTTGAGCACAGCACTTGGCTATCAGGTCTTAGAGAACAACTGCTCAAAAATAAGCCTTTTCATGGGATTGAATGTGCTTCTCCTTTTTACTTGACACGTCTGCAAAAAGATGATTAATGTCCACTTGATTTTCCTTCCCTATGCTGCAAGCTGGGCAAATGTCTGTGCTCATCAGTTCTCCCAGTTAGTCCTGATGGGGCTAAAACAGCTTTTGACTGAAATGCCTGCAGCAGCTCCTGTGGAAGCAGTGGGGCATGGTTAGCTGAGCCAGGGCTTGGGCATCTGGACTCTCTGCACTCTCACGCTCTGCATGTTGGCTGTGCTTCATTTTTGGAGCTCTGAAGAGCTGCAGCTCTCCTTAGATTTGAGTAGCTCAGTCATGGGGAATTATAATGCAGGCAAGTCACAAAGGTTCATGAAGTTGTGATCCGCTCCCTGTGGCAGTGAAAACCGTGGTGTGTGGCATTCTCAGCACTTTATAGATATCGCAGGGCTAAAGAGAATCCCACAGAAACACTTCCACAGCTTTCAGAACTTTCCTTTCTCTCTCCACTTGCCCATAGAAATGTTTTCTTCAGCACTGCAGGCTGGCGAACTGGAAACTTGAACTCTATACATTGCTCTGGTGAAATGAGATTCACATTAGACCACATTCAGAGTTCCAAATGCAGAGCTCCTTGTGCACTAACTGCTTTGTGGTTGCCTACAGAGGAACTTCTCGTGGGTACAAATCCTACCCTATCAGCATCTGACTCCAGCTTTGCACCAGAGTAAGTGTCTGCATTGTGGACAGGGCAACCACAGGTATTTGGGAATCTACCTATGAGCTAGGAAAAGAAAAATAATCAGCCTTGTATGTGCAATTATCTGTCACCTGTTCATCCTCCCAGAATGGGAGATTTACGGGGGGATCTCTCCTCCAGTGCAGGCTAATGCTCAGATCCACGGCTTATGAGTAAGCACAGAAGGAGCAGTCCTTTACAAATTCCTTTTCCAGCTTTATTTCAGACAAACCTGCTGTGTGGTGTGTGCTCAGTACTCAGTGGTGTGTGCTTTCCTTCTTCCTTTCCATACAGTTCAGACAACCAGGCAGGCCTGGACACACTGAGATACTGTAGACACATTCTTCCTTTCCATGTTATTCAGGATGCATCCAACATCCCAGCCTGCTATTGTTATCCCAGGCTAAGCTTATAGACTGGAGATTCAAATTCTGTGAAAGCAGGTGAGATTCTGGGTGCGAAAGGAACCCCAAATTCCAAAACTTTTCAAGTTTCTCCACCACTTATGATGTCCCAAGTGATAGTTCATCTAAAAGTAGTGCCCTGCTAGTGCCTGACCAGCTTGTTGCCATGGTGTCTGTCTCTCTCTGTGTAACTGGCACGTACAGCATGAAATCCTCTCTTTCTTTAATAAAGCAAATTACTTCAGTTGTTACTGCTGGCCACTCATTGACTCCTTCCTCAGTCTTTGAAGTCTTCGATGCAGCTCTCACCTGACTTGCACTGTGTGGGCAGGAGGGGCTTGGGGAGGGTTGTGTGCAAAGACAAAGAGCAGGCAGTAGAAAATAATCCGTAGGAATGTACCTGAGGGATGGACTCAAGAAGTACCTGGACAAAAGCTGGAGTAACAACCAGGAAGAAGCTGAATGAAACAGCTTTTTGTCCATTCAGGAGCTGAACAGTGTCAGGAACTGGAGAAAATGTATTCTTCTGTGACCCTGCAAGTTTCAGGGCAGAAGACATGTACACTTCTTTCAAAATACACAGGACTGACTTAGAAAAAAATGCTCTTTTGCTCTTTGGAAAACTCTGTAAAAAATTGATAATTTTGTCTATTCACTCACCTATAAACATGTAAAGACTACATTGTCAGCCTAAGGAGTGATTAAGGTGTTTCTTCTAACCCACCCTTTATTCATTTAAAAAAAAAATTACAAACCACCAAACTCAAAGGTATTTTCTTTAAGTTCAAACTAGCTGGTGTGCTCCTCGATGTGTTTCCTCACCAAATTAGGTCCTCCTGGGCTAGTTTAAATGGTGTAACTTGCTCTTACATAGAAGATAACAGTGAGGGCCTTCTTCCAATGTCTTAAAGCATTTCAGAATTCCCTAAATTCCCATATCTTTTTTGATAGTCTCTCTCTTACTCTCCTAAGTGCACAGACTGTCACATTTTTATCTCTGCTGTATGCTTCTTTTCAGCTGATACAGTGAAATGTTCCAGTGTTCCTTTGTTATAAATAAAAAACCACCGAGGCTGGTTTTGAAGGGGAACTTTCATTTTCATCCTCAGTTGTTCACTCCTTGCCAGTGAAGACACAAGCCATAGCTGGATACCAGGGTCTGTGCTGTGCTCCAGACCTGCCACACCACCACCAGCTGCTGAGCTGGAGCGACAGGAATAGCTGCAATCACTGGCAAACATCACCCAGGTGCTCTGCTGGGGCTGCTTCTAAACAGCTCACAGAACCTAGGTGCATGGGGCACAGAGTCCCCAAGAAAACTTCCATCTGTCCACATAGAAAGTTCCACAAATCTTCTTAAAGATGTGTCCTCATTGCATCATGGATACATGGGCACAGTAACCACTTTTCAATGTAAGTGGGTGTTTTCTCTGTGTCTCAGCCCTGTGGACACCACTGAGCTTCCCACCACAAACATCACTGCCCTGGCAGTGGCATCCCAGACTATGGAGAGAAAATGAGCGACAAACCTCCTTGGCACTGAGGACCTGTATTTAGACACAGAAACTGGTCTATTACTGAACCAGTAACTCTCATTGCCTTTAACACCTCTGGAAGGAGTCAGGCTACTTGTATGTCTGATGAAGCTTTCAAAGGAGGAGGAGAATGGGCCAAGGCAGTGTGACATTGCTTTAATGGTAAAACCATCAGTGCTCTCTTTAGTTAGCACAGGCATCCTTTTGCCAGAGCTCAGCTACAGAGAGCACAGGATGTGGCATTTCCAGAGATTTCTCATTTCTCTGTCTCAGTTTCTCAACACACCTTTAGTTGATTAGCCAGCAATCCTAGGTCAGTTCTTGGCATAGATCTCTGGATACCTGGACTTCAGTGTTACTGGTCTTTAATGTCATCCGTGTAGGCTTGATCAGGAAAGAAAGTATTTCTTCTTATTTAAAGAGCTTTATTTGGTAATTGATATGAGTAAGATATCTGGCACAGTCACTAAGCCAGCCAGCTCAAAACTGTGTGTGTTTGTAAAACTCTGTGTGATTTCCCAGGCTGTAATCACACTCTTAGACCACTGTGCAAATTTACCCAGTACACATACCAGAGCAGGTGTGGTCTCTTGGGAGTTTAAAGGAGCTTTGTGACCAACACAGTTCATTTCAAATTGTGTTTTGCTACGTTTTAAAAGATCATCATATTTGCTTATTAATTTGCATGGAGTTGGAGCTCAGGAAACGTGCTTGTCAAACTGGGATTGATGACTGGTGGTGGTGGGTGTTGTGGCAGGCAGTGGGGCATCCCACAGGGTGTCTGTGTTGGGATGCAGCAGCATTCCCAAGGGATATTCCAGTGTGCAGGATGTGTCATATGAAGGATGCTCCAATCTGCCTTGAGTGAAAGAATCTGTGCTGGGGAAGCTTCGCCCGGCAGATGGCAACTGTGAATACAGGAAACTAGAAAAATGTTTTCAGTTTCAGAAAGAATCTACATAGAATTAATTAAACAGGAAAGAAAAAAAAAAAAAAGGAGATTAAAGGAAAAATGAGAAAATTATAAAGTACCAATCTAATTTGATCTCTAATTTGTAAAGCACCTTTAGCCAGAACCCCGGGAGAAGGAGCAATC